TATTTTTGTAGTTCCAACTTTCACCGCTAGATGGACGGCAATTTTTTAGTCCATGAAATGGGCTATTTTTCTATTTTCTTGAATAATGGTCCTAGCAAGCTATAATTATATTCGTTCGATTCCTTAGGCGACAAGGAACAATTTGTATATCTCAGAATTTCGGAAAAGTGCCTAGTTTTCGAGAAAATCGAAATTTTAGTTTTTCGTAGTTCCGCCGCTCGCCGCTAGATGGCGCCACCTGTACCGTTTTGGACCGAATTCTACAAAAATTGATTTTTTGGCTTTATTGGGCATCAAAACGCATCAAACCCTAATAGAAATTTGTTTCTAAATGCCTCAGGTACCATACTACGTCGCCAAAGTGCCGAAATATTACACTTTGCATGCGCAGTATAATTGACATAGGCGGCTCATGTACGTATCGTAATGCTGACACAAAATAATTAATTACTCATTACCCGAACATTATTTATGAACTTTTACGATCGAACCATGTAAATAATGCATTGCTGACCATTCTTCAATCATAAAAGTGCGCCTCAATCAAGCAGACCTAGTATATTTATTAATATTATTTTTATGCTGCTTTTTGTATATTTTATGGGTCCGAAGATGCGGATTATGTGTCCAGAACAATTCACACACTTACTGTGTCTCGTCGATAATATAGGAAATGACATAAGAACGGCAGAAGATTTTCTTTTGAATCATAATCCTAAATATCTTCTTTTGCAAAGAAGAGCTTATTTGTTTAATTTTATAAATATCGAGATATGACGATTTTCTGAAGTTTCACCTACATGTCAAAAATGCGGTTTTTGTCGGTATTTCAGATCGTGTAATTCAAACAGTGGCACGAATGGTCTATTCTTTACTTTGTCTATGGTACACTAAACTTTACGTGCATAGAAAAAATAGAAGTACGCCATAGTTGTTTTGAGGGAACTCGCTTTTTAATTTACCATAATGGATAAACAATGTTGAGTTGCAAATAGATAAAAATATGTGCATTTATTGCAACTGTATCGTTCACATTATGCACTAAGCATAAAATATAATCATCATTTGAGTTAATCTAAGATTTTTACTATACATACACATAATATGCATAAGCAAAACATACATTGTGGTTTAGTCAGTTTTTATACGCGTAATATGTGTTCTATCTTCGTCTAATGTTTATTATGCAGATATAATCCTACAATGAAATTCTGTTATAAAATGGCGAAGAATGATGGTTTAAAGACTTTTCATGCAAACACTATTCAAGAAAATGAGAGAATATTGCACGAGTGTTATCAAAAAAGTCAAGTGAGTATTGCAAACAGTGTGTATAATGTTTATATAGAAATGTTAATTGAAATGCGATCAACATCTTTCAGGTGGAAAACAAAAACAAGGAGGATTTTGAAAAGTTGTTTATGAAACTCAATTGCATCTGTAAAATAAAATCAATAAAAAAGGAATCACAATTAAATTCTTGGTGCAACAAAAACGTAAGACTATTGGAATGATGCTTTTATGATATATACATTTTTGTATAAATATATTTAATCATGACTTTGTATGTTAGGTTATAAATTACACATATGGACCTATCTCAGGATTTCCATCTGGTTCATGGTGGGGTATTCGAATGGATTGTTCTAGAGATCGTGTTCATGATCCTTTCGATGAAAATTTTCAAAACGGTCCATTTGGTGTTACCTCAATTTGTACTTCAAGTGTTAACTTAAATGAAGATGTAGATTTTGGTAATTACCTCACTGTTACAGGTCAGAAGTACCTTAATGGAAAGTTGGACAAAGATCCACTTGTTAAAAATTATGAAAATCAGATACCTGTGAGACTCATTAGAAGTTATAATTTATTAAATGAATTTGCACCTAAAACAGGTTATAGATACGATGGTTTGTATATTGTGACAAAATTTTGGATAGGTGTGAACTCAGATTCCACAAAATATTACAAATTTGCTTTATTACGTTTAAATAATCAAGAAGCACCATTATGGAATACTAAACAGTCAGTTTTAAATACAATTAAAACTTCCTCTGTTCCTCAATCTACATCAACATTTCTCCAACACTGCACAGATAATCCCTCCCCAAATATGTATGAATTTAAAAAATACTCCCACAGTTCTGAACCCATCTGTGACAAAGGGAGTTGTGAGAAATCAAGTGCATCATCGCAATTTTCACATTTTGAAAGTAAAAACTTAGATGATAAGGAGAAAGGTGTTTCTGAAAGTGCAATAGTAACTCGTCACGTATTTAAGAAAACAAACAACAACACGGAATGTACATCAAATGTATCCAGTGTTTCTACTGTCTTAACAAACAATTCCTTAACTCATATTGGAAACCAAGGATCTAAAACTCATAATACCAATATTTCTATACGTACAGGATTATATAATTCCTCGCACAGTACACAGCATGATGTTAAAAAATGTATTTCATTACCATTTTGTAGAACTTCTAAATCACTTAATGTATTGAAAACTAATCAACACATAGAAAACAGGAATTTATTGAGTAAAGATACAAGTAGAAATTTAGATGGGAAGGCTCAAACAGTTAATTCAAATGAGTTTCCCAAGCGTGTTAATTATGTTTCTCTTAATACAGTGAAATCAGAACCAGAAAAAATAAAATTAACTAAACATATAGACACAGAATCAAGTGCTACTGAAAATGATGCAAGTCCAAATTCTTGTTATCAACATGAATCTAATAATGCGCATGAAGAATTGACAAATGATACAAAAGAGACATGTAAAAGTACTGTAAATATTTCTGGTGTACCTAACAACACATTGAAGCTGATGAACTGCGTGCATAGAAATGAAATTGCAGCGCATAAAATTATATCTAAAGAAGTACAAGATTCAAAGTCACTTGAATTTCTTGATTCACTAACGCCGGATGAAATTCTCCATTTAATTAATGAGAAAGGTCATCCTTTATCAGAGTTGCTGATGGGTAACATGATAGGATTAACATCAGAACAGTCCATGGCATATAAAACACAAAATTTACTAACAGCCCAATCAGAAGTAAAAAATAAAATAACGACACGAAAAAATGTGGGTGAAATAAAAGAGAAGAAAAATTTTGAGACCATTTCGGATGACTTAATTGGATCAAGATGTTATAAGTTCAGACGTCGTAGAAGATTGCCTCGAAAGATGATAGGTAAATCAGAAACAAAAAAGCATAACAAAATACACAATGAAAAGTTACAAAAGAGTTCTATACAGCCCTTAGATGTTTTAGGCAACAGTTTGACATCTCTTCACATATATAATCATTCTCAAAGAAATATTCCAGAAGAAGACATTTCCTATTTAAACGAATGTAGCAACGATTTAAACAATAAAAGGATGAAACAAAATAATTTACAAAAGAGAAAATCGAATTCTTTACAGGAATCGACGAAAAGTATTAAAAAGAATGTTGACAGTAAAACTGAAACAAAAATGCGTTTACAAGCTATGAGATCAATCAAGTCTTCAATCAAAAAACATATAAATAAAAAACAGAGAAGAGAAATTGCAAATTTATTAATAGATGCAAAAATTGGTCCTAAAATACGTGGTCCACGAAATAGAAGATTGCGATCTATAAATAGTACTTATGCTAAACAATCATTTGAACGTTTTGGTACCACTATGTATGCTTTAAATAAACGTCAGATCAGTTCAGAGCAATCTACTTTTAAAAATAGAAGTAAACTTACAAACATCAATAGTTATAAACGTATTAAAAATAAACAAACTGGAGATGTTAAAAGATCAGAATCGAATCAAGTAAAGATACAGAAGAATCTTACAGTTTCTAAAAAAGATAAAGATCATATTATAGAAAAATTGCTTAATAATAGTAGTACTGCCACTAAGGCAACTACCACTATTACTGCTCCTGCTGCAAATAATAATAATAATAATATCAATATTAACAGCAAAAGTAAAGATGTAACGTTGATTCAAAATCGGAAAAGAAAATTGAAGCAAATAGATTCTGAGGATTCAAAATTCTGTAAAGTCGAAGAGGAGTTACGTAGTAATTCTGCAAAAGAAATTTCAAAGCCTTGCAAAGCGGATGCAATTACTCAATGTTCTCTGATTAAAGAGCCACTAACAAAGAATTTGAAATCAAACAGTCTTAATCAAAGTAATGTCCGTAACGAGCAATACACTTTCATCAAAATAGAATACGGTGATGTTAAAGATACAAAGCCTGATGTATACGAAGTTATGAAATTAGATAATAAAACTAAAAGTTATAACACATCCGAATCTGGTAAGAATCGTACGCCTTGTGAAGAAACTGTATGTAATATAGAAAATTCTAAAAGTAAAAATATAAAATTATTCACTAATGATATCTTAAATGCTAAAGAACAAAGCGGATCTTCGCCGAAAAGAATATCCGCATTCGTACCTGTTAACATTCCAGATAATGATCTAAAAATTGCTCGTTTAAGATCGATAGGATTCAAACCAATAACTTGTAACAACAGCGATGAAGATGTTAATAATCTAAGTAAAGGAAATTGTTCTGTGATTTTAAATAACAAATTAGTAAAACAAAATGTTACTGAGAAATACAATAAATATGCGAGTGAGGAAACAAATGTTGTTGTGTACATGGATGATAATTTACAGTATCAAGATATTGAAAACGAAGATAAAAATTGTTTGTCTGCTAGGTGCAAAGCATCAAGTTCAAAGAATTGTACAGTAAAAGATGAACAATTAAATAGAGTGGCTTTAAAGAAAGAATCGTATAATAATTTGTTATTAGAACAAGACTTAGAATTACCTTGGCACGGGTGGAAAAAAGTTGTAACAAATAAAGATACGTATTGGATTGGTTGGTAAAATAAATATAGATCTTGTGCAAAATAAATTCATAAATGCATACATACACGCATACACTTTGCCAAAATAAAGGCTGTTAATAAAACGCTAAATTATTTTTTCACTAATAGTTGTAATATTTCAATGCATTGATGCTATTATAAATAATGCTTTTATAGGACAAATATTTGATTTTTTTAGTTGAAGTAATCTATATTTAAATCACTTTCACTAATCTTATTATAACATTTAGTAAGTAGTTTACTAATAAGAACGTGGAACACTAATTGTTAATTGTACCAAAACAATGATTTATTTTAAAAAAAATGAATTTTATTGTTATTTCATGGAGCAGAATAATGTACTCTCTCCATAAATATAATTTATGTATACACAAACTATTCTGTTGTATAGAAAATAAAGTTTAATTATGACCAAGATTAAGATCTATTTCCATTTCTTAAAATATTTAAAACATGTAAGGTATAAAATCAAAGCGTAAAATCAACAACTTATAACACTAAGTATTAAGTATTTATACATAGATAAGATAAATGCGCTGAAGGAAAGTTCTTTAATTTTTGAATTATTACATTCTATTTTAACGATATATACATTCATTGATTTTTTAATCTAGGACGCAAAGATTTTTGTGGCTCTTTCATATATAGTTCTTGGACGTGTGTAATAATTAGAAGCATCTGTCCCAGTGTAATTTATAAAATAAATATTTTTCATTGAAAAAATTAATTTGATATAAATGAGAAATGCTGGTATATAAATATATGTAAGGCTCATTCAAAATGTAAAAATACCGTCGAACCACAGTAATGCAGCAAACTCATTTGTGAGTAGTCAAACATTAAGTACTATACAGTGCCCTCTCTTCAAAAACATAAAACTGGTATTTAAATCAAACATATTTATCTTATTATAATAGAACCACCTCTATAGGTAACAATGCCTTAATTATGTTCAGCATATTAAAATAAATATCTTCTATGCTATGTTTACATGATGTAACATAATACACGTATTAACATGAATGCAACATTATGGAACTATATATTATAATGTGATATATGATTTTACATCACATTATTTGTTTATTAATCTGTCATTTGTTCTGTGAGCGAGTTAAGTTCCTACCTAACGATGTACAGTCAATTTAATGATATACGTAATGTTTCCTTGAAATTAAATTCATGGAAATGCAACGTTAATGTACCGTCTCTTTTTTGTTCCGTTCCTCGCTTTTTGTACACAGTCCATTGTTTGTGTCTATTGGAACTCATCGTCACTGCTCAAAAGCATTGTTTTTTCATTATAATTTTGAGAAATTGTAGCAACACGTTGATGAGATGTGTGCCGTCTTTGTGGTGGTGGTATTGGCATATTCTGTGGATCATCTGGATCGAAGCTGGATATCCGCATACCACGTTGTCCTTTGGGAGCTCCTGATTGTTACATTATATCACGTATTATCGCTGATAAAATCAATACTAATTGATAGATCGATCAATCAGCAGACACTGAACAACCATGCTCATACTTTCTTTCTCTTTATTCAAAGCAACGTCAATTATATTGCTTATGGGCTATGCAGTTTCATACACAATTTAATAAAATTCATATGTACACAGTATAAGCTACAATCGTTTTATTTTTTTTTTCACATTACTACAATAATTGTATGCATAACATAATCATGTTTAATAAATTTGCAATTCATGCATGTTATGAAAATAATAATTTTACACTTACTAATTTGGTGAAAATTATTGAAAGTAGATATAAAAAAAAAAATACAATGTTATATTAGCATGCTAAATTAAATATGAATTTTTATTATTTACATGCTATTCTTTTTAGATATAAAAGCATTACAAAATAATAATAATACATTCTTTAATAACTTCTAATTTGTCGATAAAATAATACACAATTACAATACTGCCACAGAATAGTAATCAATTATTATTTGTCTTTTGCATTTTATTAGAAAGCAAAACGTGTTATGAAATTACACTTTATTTTAAGTGCTTCCCTTGTTAATTGCTTAATCCCTATTATATAGTAGATTTTGTTAATTGCAAAATGAAAGAATTGTAGACTTATGTATACTGATTTTACTTAAATTATAATTTGAGCAGAAAACACTTTGCCCATCCTGCAGTTTAATTAGAACTTAAACTATCAAATAAGTTTATAATAACAGTTTCAATAAACTAAGGTACTAAAAATTTTTCATTTTCCGTTTAAAATGATATAAATGTTTGATGTCCAATTTCTTGAAATTAAAAAAGTGATGCCTTGCATTCTCATAGTTTTTCATACGGCAAGTTGGTATTAACGTCTGAAAAACAATAAAAAAGGAAGTGCCTTCAAAGAATTTTATTTTAAATGGCACATGTTTATTAAACTTATGATAAGAACTACTCTTTTTTTTTTATTTTTTAAAGAACTCTCAAGTACAATTTAATTGCAAAAGATAAATATAAATGAATTTATACTATTTTTTTGCAATAATTGGCAGTAAAGTATGTTAAGAGATGCAAGTATAATAAAATAATGTTCATTTATTATGTAAAAAGCCAAAATCCAGAATTAAAACAACATATTCGTTTATTACTTTAATTTCTAATTCAAAGCTTTAATACTTCTTAAATTTTTAATTATTTCTTTTGCACTTTCTTTAATTTATATTTAAAGAATATTGTAACAGTTAAATAAGAAATGTAAATGAACAATAAAACATAGGTGTTTTAAATTTGATCATTTACAACAACATGCTATATGAAAATGTATTAATTAGGTAAAGCAAGTAAAGAATTTTAAACACAATATTTATTAAAAAGAAAAAATTGAAAAATAAATCAATTATACGTACCTGAACTGTACTGAGTGTATTGTTGATATTGTGGGTGAAAGTTATGGATGGCATCAGTCATTATGTCTTTTGGATTCATAGTTTCCTGCGTACAAATTGAATTAGTTATTTTCACTGTTTATAAATTAGGTCAATCATTTATTAACAGTATTTAAAAATTATTCAATGTACCTTTAAACTACTGCTAATGCTTTGCATTGTTACACTCCTCCCTCTTGAATCCGTAACACAACCAGCTGAGTATACTTGATAGGGAAAAGCATAACGTAAAGCTATAGCAGCAAACAACATTTCAATACAAATTAAAAAGTTTTGATAACCAGCAGAAACCGTGCCTACACTGGATGGTTGGCCCACATTTATAGAAGAAATTACATTTGCTTTTTCAAGGATAGCCAATAACACTCCTAAAAAACAATAAAATAAATTTAGATTTATTCAGCACATAAAATATGTTTTAAACTATTTTTAAATATTACCTTGCCAGAATGAGAGAAAGATAACACTTTTGATAGTACAAAATTTCAGAACAGGTTCAAACGGTGTTAGTAAGTCTCTTGTGGCAAAGTAGAAAAGAAACAGTCCATAAAGGGCAAGAGATACACTGATATTATATATAATGGTCACATAAATATAGCCCCCATCTGGGGACCAATCCCCATCTCTGTAATGTCCAAATGCTTGAAGGAATATAATAACAAATGCCATTACTGGTTTTACTAAGCAAAATTGCAAAGTAGCTTGTTTACAAAATCTAAGAAAACCAATCGTATATGTCTTTCCAACCAAACAGCAAGTTCCATATAAGCAATTGGAACGAATAGGTTTGCCACGTATTTCGGACATAATGTTTCCTTCACCACCCAGGTACTCATAGCATAGAGACAAAAAGTTATATATAACAAACGCTTCATAACAATCTCGTACAGTAAAGAAGTAAACGTAATAACTTTCGCTGTTAAAAAATACTAGAGAGACCCATGAATAAGTTGCATAAATTGGGACTATAAACAAGATTCTCACTATCCATCTTTGTTCTGTTGGATTAGTATACCACCTCAAATGTTGATAAATCTATAAAAAAAATTTAACCAAAATAATATTTAGTATTGTCTACGGTAATAAAAATATTTTGAAAATTAATTGTAAAATACCTGTTGACAAGTCAAGAACAATGCAACCCAAACAAATGCACCAGCAATACCTTGAGCAGCTCGTGTCTGTAAGAATATTGGAGCTGTTTCCTTCTCAGAAAATACAGATGTCATATTGTCAACCACAGAGTTCACAACTGTAGATGATTCCATTGCCACTGTACTACTCATACTTTAATCTAAGAAAAATTAGCGTTGCAAATAATAATAATAATTTCGTATAATTGTAGAAAAAGAAAGATAATTGTAGACGTCAAAAGAGTTCATTTTAATCACAGTCACAAATTAAAAAAAAAATAATACGGGCCATCTATTCGTAATACAGAATAAATGTCGAAATTATAGCTCGCGCGTTAAAAATCAATATACACAACAATAACAACGGTACTCCATTCGTGCGCAAAATTTCGTCTCGTGGACGCACCCGTGCTCCATTCGTAGGATTCTTGGAACAATCGTAGCATACGTGCAATCTCTCCGAATTGTGTATCTCGTTATACGTGTTCTCCTTTTTCCTTGGTATCTTATGTTTGTGTTGACCTGTATGATCAAGTTCCTTACAGGTTCCCCTTTCCACTTTCAATTAAATAGCTACCGACGCAGAGATTAACGATGCTCGTGACCTTCCAAAAGATAATGTAAATAATTCACGAAATTTCCTTTCCTTTTGCAGTGTATTTCTTCAGCACGGATCACCGAGTGTTACTTTTACCCAACATTTTTTGCTATTTCTTCTTCCAACTTTCTGGACGTCAAACACATTCGTTTAGAAATAACTTGACGAAATATGCTGTTAGTTGACAATAAAAATATAACTGGTCTTTCCACTACGCTATATAATCTTTCTTACACACGTAAATCTTTCCTTTGGTTTTCTATCTTTACTCTTCACGTACGATCACAATCTCTTTTTCCCTTCTCGCCCTTCTCCTTTACGCTAAATCCCCTCCATAATTTTGTTTAATTATCGTTACAGACGCATGCGCTTACGCACGATCACGTTGCATTCTTAGCAATAAATCGTTCATCGAAGTGAACAATGTTCATACATTTTGTATGTATCATATCAAACCCTGCTTAACGTTGCTTACGCACCTATGTTTCAGTGTATTTGAAATTATGGAGAAAATTACTCTGTTCGTACTATGAACATCCTATGATTAAAGTTGTACTACACAGCTGTCATGTTTAAAATGTTCGAATATGAGTATAATATATTTCAACATATTACTTCATCAAGGTTGTTGATTACGTGAAACAAAACTGTGACAAATCATGTTTAAAAAGTTGACACAACAGAGAAACATTTAAATAAAGTGTCAACATATTTCAATATATTTCTTATATGACAGATTTGTACTAAAATTATAAACATGGCACTCGTTTATATTGAAGACCGTGATCCCTGGTAAAAATAGCGAATTTTATGATCATTTAAAAATTCATGTTCATTTTTAATTGATGTTTTAAATTATTTAACAGGTTAACCGAATATGATGCCTGTGAAAAGCTCTTTAGAGAGATTATGGAACAATTCACTGAACGTAACAAACATCCAAAAACTTCACAAATATATGCAAGTATATCTGCAAATATACGAATTCGTTTAAAACAATATAATAGAGAAGTGCAACAGCTCAGAACCAAAGTAGATAGCGCATTAAGATCTAAAACTATGTATCCTTTTATTTATTGATCAGATATAAAAATTGTTTTGATAAAATTCTTTCCCTTAATAATTATATACAGAACTGTTGAAGAAGCAGAACGAAGGATACGTCAAATAGAAATATTGGAAAGCAGAGATGTGCAATTGCAGAAGTTATATGATGCACGTACCAATGATTACATGTACTCACGTACAAATTTACTTACATCAGGTGGGTCAGTTTTTGCAGATGGAGGTACCACTTCATGGGCAGCTGATGATGATGATGATGATAAACCTTTAGATACGGAAGTATCTGTTAATGATCTAATGACTAGACAAGACAAAATTTTGCAAGGTACAATATGCTATATTCTTTAGTATTCCTATTTATCTAATTCAACGTTTTTTACAATTTACATCATTCCTTCACAGAGCAAGATAAAGGCTTAGAAGAATTATGTAAAGTTATTGCAAGGCAAAAGGAGATTGGTCAAACTATCAGCAATGAAGTGGATCATCAGAATGGTAAATTAAACTGTTTTTAATGAATTAAGAAACGACAAATATTCTATTTCAATTCTTTCTGTTTGTGCACAGAAATAATTGACGGTTTAGCTAATCATATGGATAGAACAGATGAATCATTGATCAACAAGACACGTCAAGTACAGACCATTACTGTCAAGGATCGTACATGTGGTTACTGGGTAGTAATAACTTTACTTTTTATTTCTATTATTATAGTCACTTTAATTCCGTAATTATTAATAGTATTAACTGTTGCATATGTACATGTATATGTGTACATATATGTAAAATAAATTCCATTATGTGCAAGTTTTAATGTACACATACGTGTATTTTGTAAAATAACATGTTGTACACGAGTGTATAAAAATTATGTACAAGTTTGTTTCGTGATTTTTTAAATATCTACTAATTTAAATTCTGTATTTTTTACGAATTATAAGTGGTAATACTATCATAACTATAAACAATAATAAAGTAAATTAAAATGAATAATCTACATTTATGTTCAATGTGCAAAATTTCTTACAATTTAAGGTAAATGAATAATTCTTTATTAAAAACTTTTATAATAAAAACCTAACAGCTCGTTATTAATTTTTACATAAATTATATTTTACTGTTCATTAAGTTATTTTTTTTCATTTTCTTGTATTTGCTTATTTAGAGTTTCTAACATATTGGCTTTTTGATCCAATTCAAGACTTTTCAAAAGTGCTTTTGGGCAAGGGTCTCTTCCTCTAAACTTTCTAAAAACTTCATTTGCAGAGTAACTGCCGCCAACAGCTAAAAATGTTTCACGATATCTATTTCCAACTTCCTTCAATAATTCCTTATTATCTGAAGGTATATTTTTGAAAGCACCATATAAGTCAGCTGCAAGCATTTTTGACCAAGTAGTACTGAAACAAATTATTATTTTTTAAGCTTTTAAGATATTTTAGACCATCAAATATCTATATTATTAAATGTTACCTAAAATAGTTAGCCGCAAAGTCTCCACTAAAAATGCAATCAAAAGAACAGATGAAACAATCATTTTTAAATGCTGGAAATACAAAATGTTTACTCCATAAGCGTTTCATTATATCATTCCAAAATTCGGATCTGTAAATTATAGAACAAATTATTCGATATTACTGTTAATAGATATGTGTAACAATTTGTCTTACCCAGAATATAATTCCAAATCGAATCTGGAAAGATATAGACTTTGACATAGATTATAACCGGCTAAATGCGTTCTTATTTTCTGAACTGTTTCGATCATTTCAGTAGATAGCGGTTCTCCCGTACTGTGATGACCAGAAATTTGTTGTAAAATAAAAGGTTCATATAACCTAATAATAAATAAAAATATGATATCGGTGTATATGTAAAACAGTTATCCAAAAGGGAGGAGAATATCAAATATACCAATGCTCAAAGAAATATTGAGAAACAAATGCTGCATCCCATTCCACAAATGAATGTCCAGCTACTTCAGCATAGTCCACTGTTGTCAGTATATGTTGTAACATGTGACCAACCTAAATAATGCAGCATAATATAAATAAAACAAATACAGGCTTAAATATTATTTCCATATATGTTAAATTTACTTTTTGGAAAAGAGTTTGCAGATCTCTGAGTGAAAGTAAAGAAGGTCTATCACCGAGTGATGGTTGAAAATTAAATACTAGTGCAGCCAGTGGTTTTGTATCACTTATTTTGCTCTTATTTTGCATTGTTACTAAATAACCATCATTTTGGGATATTGGAACTTTTTCATCTTCTCTTGCATATGGATCTAAATAAAAACTACCTATTGGAACACTGTCTGATTGTTTCAAATCAAAAGCATCAAAATATCGAACATCTTTATGCCAAACATCTGACTTTTTGCTTTCAACAATTTTTACATTAAATAAAAATTCAATTAATCCAAATATCCCAGATAATACTCTTGGTAAAGGGAAATAATTTTTCAAATCTTCTTCCTTGTATCTGAAAATAGTGTCGAAGTCAAATACTATCACATACCCTTCACAATAACTATAAAGCATATATCTTAATTACTTGCATGTACTATGCAACTGCTTTCTACCCCAGTATGCTACATCCCATTGTTGAAGTGTTTCTTTTAGGCCATTTTCCTTTGCAAATGTTTTCAGTGTGTTAATTTCATATTGCTGAGCAGGATATGCTTATGTGGAAAAAAATGAAAACGTTATTTATCTGTTAGTGACTTACAAATATTTAAGAAAATTTTACCTGTTTCCAGTAAATTGTCTAATACATTGTAAACATTTTCCACACTAGCAGCCATTTTAGACTCCATGCTTAAATCAGCATATGATTTATATCCTAATATATTTGCCTGTTGGATTCTTTTGGAACGAATTTCTTCTACTAGTGTGCTTGTTTGTAATAATTTATCTTGAAATACGGATGCTTTAATAAGATTTGCTTCCCACAGTTTCCATCTCATGGAACGATCAGAACAATATTCTAATTAGTGCACAAAGAGAAATAACAATTATTTTAATAGAAGCAAATTTTCAACTTTCATAGTATATTCATTACACTTTCATACCCATAAATGATCTCAAGATAACAGAATCTAAACTTATTGACCAAGGTCCAACCTTGTACCGTGCAGGATCTGTTACCATATGTTTCAATACATCTTCTGGTATGTCTGCCACAACTTGGGGATCTTTTATTGTAAAATTATATTGCTTCATAGCTACCTATAAAAGATTCTAAGTTAGAAGTAATAACTAATTTATGTACAATGACCTACCTCTAATTTTTGGGTGTATTCCTTAATGTGGCGAAACAATAACACCATAAGATCTGACAACTTTAATTCCTCCTTTTCAGATAATTCTAATCCATTTAGTTTTCCTTCTAATATGAATTTTATTAAAATTCTTCTTTGCTCATTTGTCAATTTAGCTTCTTTGTTATTTATAATACTCTTACATGCCCGATAAATTGGTTTGCTAACATATTTGAATGCGGAAGCTTTCCTAGCACGATTGTTAATACTTATATAATATTGTGTTGGCATTTTACTTTGATTTCCTACATATAACGCTTTTGCAATACCCCATGTGCTAGTCAAAGATGCACTTATATCTTCTATAGGATCTATTACATTTTTGAACAGATCATTTGGAGAAATATTATCAACACCTAAAATATAGTTTTGTTAACAGTAAATGATTTCAATGGTTTTACTAAAAATGATAATACGAAACAAGATTGAATTACCCTCTATTTTTTTCCCTAATGTTTTTATTGTTTCTTCGAATTCTAGTGCTTGCCTTCCAATTGCAGCCACACATTTTTCTATTGTAATAGTATTAAATTCTGGAGTTTTATCTTCTTTCAATAAAGGATATTTTCCTGGTAAATCTTCTCCTATCTCCGGTACACTTAATTTAGATAAGATTTAAAGACAATTATCAATATACATTATTAATTAATAATATTATTACAGGATATTTATCCATTTACAAAAAAAAAGATGAAATACATAATGTATATTTTGAACAAGTTTCTAATATACCTACAGTACTAGGTAACCATTGCGTTTTGGAATTTTTAATAAATTATTTTGTGATAAAATAATTCTTTTCCCACATAGTGGAATTATTTTAGTATTTTTTAAAAACATCATGTTTTCAATTTTCCAGTTGCATCTTTAATGAAAAACAGATTCTCCGTTATTACGACTTTATTTAACTCCCTCGTTCTTTTAATTATAGCTAAAATTTAGCCATGAGTTACACTGAACAATTGAGAATTCCTATTCAGTTTCTATCAGTCAACGATTTTTTAATATTCGTAACAATTCTAAAAACAGATATTATGGGAAGAAATTTTACGTTTAATAACGATAGAAGAGATTAAATTAAAGTTTAATAAGAAACGAAGTTTTTGAAATTTATTTATAAGTATATATTATTACAGGGTAGGTTCGTAGTACATCTGGGATGGCGCTAGTGTAAACGACATCAAAATCTAGAAAGAAGTGTCTATCTTCATGCGTACATATCGAAGAAATTATAATTAGGTGGAAAAGTTGCGCATATTCTAGCTACGGAGATAACGAAACGCCGATTTCTACTCGAGTATTACAGGTATAAATTGTTTTTAATACTAAAATTGTTATTGTAGAGAACAGTTGTTTGATTATAATGATTATCATTAATCAATATTTGTAGCAATGTCGGGGAAACTGCGGAGAAACAATATCAGATGGGACAGTTCGACGGAAGAAGATGATGCGTACGATTCAAAGTATAAGATAAGACTGAGAGAATCATTAAGAAATAGTCAACAATCTGGCGTAACCGAGAATGAAGGTGTTACGGAGCCACGGAGGCGGGGTCGAGGGCCTTCCAAAAGGCCTTGCCTGAATAGGAATGCTTTGATGGCTCGTGAAAATAGACTGAAGAAGAAAGCATATCTAGAAAAAATAGAAAATAAGCTTTCATTTTATCAAAAAGAAAACAAAAATTTAGTTAACATTATAAAGAAACAGAGTATAGATATCAAACGACTGAATGGAGAAGTTGCCTATCTGAAAAGTGTGTTAAATAATAACACTAGTATTACGGCATTGCTCAAAACTATTAATGATGGTCTCCGTAAAATTAATGCGCAAAAGAAGAATTCACTGCATGCGAATCACATTTCTGAATGTTCAGCTGAAACAGATATACAGCATAAATGCACATGTTATACAAATATCAAAGAAAACATATTGAATGCACAGAATAGCAACATATTTATTACGAATGTCAATAACGACACATTAATAGAACATACTACAACTGAAAATGAAAACAATGAATCTTATACTAATCCTAGGAGACACTTTACATGTAAGGACTCGAATATTGATAAAACCTCTTCATCGATTTTAGACTGTGATCATACTTATACCATTTCCAAAAATTCTGCAGTTGATGCCAAGAACAACTCACAGAATATGGAAGTACTGAATACCATACCTTCAAGTGCAAGTTCTGTATCAGAAGATGGATATATAGATAATGTAAAAGGATTAGATAGTCTGTTACCAATTACACAAACAGATTTATCGAATGTAGAAGAAAAGAAAGATACTGAAGCCATTGGTATCGATTTTGATCAATTGTCTACATTCAACATGGATATATTTGAAGATTTACCTAAATGTGACGAAATCATGAACACGGTGGATACTTTAAACGACCCTTCTAATTTTTTCACTGAAGAAGAAATATCTCAGACTCTGGATAATACTGGAATCTGTCTACATGTCAATTCTGATAAAGTATCTTTGGAGTTTTGTTCCATATGTCATTTAAATAGTAAAAACTCGGGATCAAACTGAAGGGGGAATTGATCGTAATTGCTACAAATTCGCTCAATGACGAGGTACTTGTAAAAGAGGCCAAACCAAAGATTCTGGAACTTTCTTGATCAGTGGAGTATAAATAATTGATGAAAGTAATATATTATTTTTGCCCTTTCTTGCTGGCATTGTCTATAATATGAAAGATTATATCACACGCAATAGTAGATATACCCATATTTTCAGGTCTATCAAGAAGATGTATATCAGCGACTAGACCTGCCTGATGAAGAAGCATGATAGAATTATTTTTCATATGGAACGAAAGTTGCGTTATTAGTATATATATAATATATTTATAAAAATATATACACTAGTGTGTACATATTACATGATATACATATATATGCATACTTATATGTGCACACGTACATACATATACATATGCATATATGTGTGTATATATTTTATAAGTAATAAATTTTTTATGCTGATTATATTTCTAGAAATTATATCTAGTAATATGTAATGGTACAAAATAATTTTAGTTCGGGTTACACTGTTGCTATTTTTTAATGATGGTATTTTACAAAATAAGAATTTTTTTTTAAGCATTTATTGTGTCTGATTCGAGTAGTTTTACAAAAACTTTTGTTGTTCTTTGTACATGACATAAAATTGTACCACTTCTATTCCTCTGAAGCTGTAACTATGTACTTTTTACAGGATAATACCATGTTGGCATTGAAGTTTGCTAGGAAGGATCGGACATAAAGGTGGGCGTCAGTATTACGAAAATTTTAACTGTTACACATAATCATATATATTTGTTGCATTATAAATTGCGAGAAATTTTGTAATCATTATGATTCGTTTGTTTTATCTAGTCAAGGTCTGGCATGCCTGACACGCTGTTTAATGATGCTGTTACATAGTATTTTGGAGCGATTACAATTAGTTCTTATTGGAAATGCGTGTGGAATCACGATCACCCCCTTCATTTGTATTCGTTATAAAATATTATAAGCAGGTTGAGTATAAATATATTGATATTTCTGAAAACAATTTGTCGTTGAAATAAAGTTCTCGAGTTTTCAATAATTTAATTTTCAGCTACATTCCGAGGATAGTCCTGCCAATGCGGAACATTCCATCCACTGATCAAATTTTGTGGTAATTGAAATTAAATTGAGAAAATTAAAGCATCAGTATACATTGTATATTATATTTTTAGGAGAATGTCTTGACATTGTGTATTGTTAGTTAAAGGCGGTCTTGCAATGCCAGAGATTTTATGTACAAATTCATATAAAATGCTTTTTTTTCAGTATTTATATTTTAAAGAGACATGAAATATTTTTACAGTTATTAGGGGAAAAGAAGTGTAACGATTTTATTTTAATACAATTATATATTCTTGTTTTAATACAATTATATATTCTTGTTTTAATACATACACTATTTTTTGTATCTTTTGTTATAAATTATTTTGGTATATAGTAGCATTAGTTAAAAATTATGCGAATTAAAATTATGTACCACTCCGTTGTCTCGAGTATTTTGTAACTTCTTATTAAAATTATAAACTATTTTGTATCAAAATTTGTTGCAAAAAAGTATTAGAAATATAACTTTTATACACGAAAAAAAGATAATACATGTTGTGATTATAAAATTGCACGTTTATAATGTTTATTACATTGTAAGAAATTGAAATAAATATCTGGTTATAATTTATTATGAGATATCCATAAGTATTTCAATAGTATGTATATACTTTTTCTTTTTAACATGATTTAATAATTAATCGTTTCTTTGCTTTTACATTTTACATAGTAAACTATTTAACTTTGTACAAAGAATTCTTACTCACAAACATACATGTTATTTTAATAACAGAAAGGCAAAATTAATGTAAATAGTCTTTTAAATTCCAAGGCGACTAAAAACATCCGGTTTCTTCACATGAGCTACTGTTGCAATTCTGTCAAATGTTACTTGCTTAGCACCATTCGTTCTAATCGCTCCTAAACGTGCCTTTGCCGGTATAGAAGTTAATCGTTCCGAGGCTGAAAAAATCACGTACGATTATACATAATCATATAATTTCATACAAGACTTGAAAAGAGATCACAAATGCGCAAAAGGGTGTACCTAATTTTCCAGACATAACATTGGATGTAATTGTTCTTGTGTCAGTTGAAGATGCATTGTTAAAAGAAATCCTTTTCGTTGTTTTTACTAATTGATTAACATTATTTGACATAATTTTTTTACTTGCTTCTTGATCAGCTCGCATTGTCCCCACATTTTTTGGTACAATTTTGCTTGTTGTAATAATTGAAGTTCTCATGTTAGTTTTTAATATTCCTGTACCAGTTGTACCATTTTTCAATATTCCTGTCTGAGTAACATTATCTTTTTTGGCATCTTTATCTCCTAGTCGGTTAAAAACACTTACAGATCTTTTGAAAATATCTTTTCCTAGTCCAGTTACATTAAAAGTTGGTGATGTCTCAGATGGGTTTGTAGTACTGGTTACAGAACTATCACCCAACCTATCAAATACAGTTCGTTTTTGTTCTATAGACTTTTTAAGAATTTGTTGACTTCTAGGAGTTGATCCCTTTGGAAGTATCACAGTATACTCTACTGTGTCATCTTTAGTATCAAGAGACTTTACTTTCTTCACTGATTCACTCCATTTATGTTCATTATCATCAAATTCATCTTCATCTTCCAATTTTCTTTTAAGAATAATTTGTTTCTTTTGATTAGAACGACTTGTAACTGCTTCACTAGGTATAGAAACTGATTTTTTAATAGATGAAGCTTTCTTTACTGAAGTAGTAGGAGTTTTTAGGATCTTTTTCGTGACTACTGTCTCAGGTTTAATTTTAGAAGTCACTGCTTTTGTAGATGTTTTAGATACCACCTTTTTAACTGTTGGTTTAGGTATACCAGATGTATCTTCGGTATCAACAAGGAATTTTTCACAGGTTGTCTCTTCGACAACTTTTTTTGCATACCTCAAGATAGCAATCATATCTCCCATTAATGTTATTCCCATTTCTTTGAGACTAGGCTTATCTAAATCTGGCAACATGTCTGGTTTAATACGATTATTAGAAAACACAACTGCATGTTTCGTGGCTACATCCTGAGGAAATCCTGCACCCTTAAAGAATTTTACCCAATATGCTACAACAAGAAAAGAAAACTGTCAGCAATCAAAATAATACATATACTTAGAGAAAAAGACATTGATTCAATTGCAGAAAACTTAATTTACCTGATAGCGACGATGCCATTTTCCCGGTAAGGTTATCCTCAATATTGTATTCGGTAGCGATTTATAAGACTTTTTGCAGTAAACAGAAACTGTTCAGAATAAAACTAATAATATTACTTCACATAATTCACAAAGGTTATTCTTCATAAAATACTGCTGTTAAGGAAGAAAATATCTCTAAGGGCAAACACACAATACTGTTTTAAATATGACAATAAATTATAACAAACATTTAATTGTATTATTTAGAAAGTGTTCACAGAAAATTAGTAGAAAATGATAGTAAACATAGGTATCCCATTTCTTAAAACTTCAGAGTTATTCATGTGCACCGTCTACATCTATATGTATACAAACGTAAATACATAAGTGTAATTAGAATGACCAGATGAAAGCGCAATCGTCTCTAGCGACATCATCGACAAACTTGCAAACTAACTGTACTATTGATAATTATCATTTGTAAATAAATTAAAAGTAGCGTCAATCTTCAATGTCCTTCTTTTGATATCAAATAAAGTGCTTCAGTTATATATAATTTCGAATTTTATCATCAATTCATTTTACATATAATTAAGCAACAATTAACTAAGTTAACAAATTAATGTATAAACACGTTCGTCAATGTATAAGTTTTCCAATGCTAAAAGGCTATTTGTTTATGTTTCAAATATGGGATAACAAAATGAAAATTGTAAAAACTAACGAATTTTATTCATGGAATTGTCGCCATTCTAGATATAAAACGTTTATGCCCGAATGTCCGTGAAGTCTCGGAGGAATGGAGTTACCCTCGTTGTTTTGGGAATTTCACACGGATTACCGTACTATTTTTATCGTGTGTGGGTGAATCGGGTGTCTTAGTCGCCTTTGATACTATTTTTGATATTTTCGTATTCTCCGAGCTGCTTGCTGGGCGAGATTCGCGTTTGAAAAAAGAACGGAGGTTAGTTTCATCAGATGTATCGGGGTACGTAAGTTACGTATGCGATCGAACATCGTTGTTCGAAATAGATAAATGTTTCAAACATTTATCAAATTATACAGACTCGTTTCATTTGTTCGCAACTTTGTTTCGAACGACATTTTCATTCTATTTCCTTCTTAGCCGATTTTAATTCATTTTACGAGCACTCGAAATTCCTAACAAGAAGTCTTCTGTAAAGCGGAATATAGCAAGGGTAATTGCTAAGATTTAAATTCATTCGATTAATTTTCGTTGCACGTTTCGATTGTGATTCATATTTGGTAAGATTTAATTTTGTTACGTTTATGGGTTGTTTACATCGTCGAAAATGTAACCATTACTATAACGGTCATAAATTATCAATTATAATCGAATGGAGCTTTCGATTCGCGCCATTCTCGCGCTCGCATAGTCGAAATAGTTGAACGCGATCGTCGCAATTCGCGGGGGTTGGACACGGAAGCTGTTGCATGGGAACGAGATCTTTAGGTGTGCGACGGGGTGTCGGATAAACGGTACGGGCAGAATTAGGGAACAACAGGAACGAGCGAACGAACAAGAAAGCTAGAGTGAGAACGAAAGCGGGAAAGAGAGAAAGAGAGAGCGAGAGAGAGGGATCGAGTGAGGGAGAGAGCGTGGGAGGGGAGGCTCGTGCGCCGGCGAGCAAATCGTGTGTCAGACTCGTGGCAGAGGGGTCAGCGCGAGAGAAAGAACGACACGAACCGAACGTTTTCTGGACTTAGCGGGTACGTTTTCATATTACAAAACGTACGCCCTTTTTCTCTTTTTTTTTCTTTATTTTCGACACATACTGTTCTCTTTTTTCCCTACTACCCTCAATTTTTATCCTCTCTGTTATTCCGTTTCTTTTCTCGCGCGCGCACTTTCCTTTTTTCTTTATTTTTTTATTCTGGTTTCGTTGATACAGTAGATCACTATGTTTCTCGTCGTGACGGGGCAAGTGGAAAGAAAATACGAACGTATCGCCACTCGATCACGATCGAGAGATCGTTTCGAGAGCGTAGCCGAGTGCCTGTTCGATATCATTCGCGCACACGTCCGTATTCGAGTGACATAGAAATTATTTGCGTTTAAAGGAACGTGAGATATCCGAGGAAGGATGAACGACATGGAAGCTTACGGGGACGGATACATGGAGCCGGAAGAGGAGTGGGAAAGGGAAGGTCTTTTGGACCCGGCTTGGGAGAAACAACAGAAAAAGGTGAGTTTTTATTCGCTTTTATATTATTTCCACATCATTTTTCCTGTCACTACTCTCCGTTCCGTTTGTCGCAGTATGTATCGTTGCAGGCTTGGCTGCGAACCGGTTGCATTTTACCGCTTCAATTTGCCATACGTTCATTCGTTAATCGTTATTCGTTGCATCGAGTTATTCGACGAAGATCGTTACCGGTTGCAACCACGTTAACCGTTACGTTTCTGCGACTGACAAGGGAATATGTCCAGTTGATTTTTCGATCTACATAACCTCCTCGCCAGGCGCCGCGTGATTTTCAAATCAGCAACAGTGACGTTACGAAGCAACGATGCATCATACAAGGAATCGTGATTACAACGAAAAGTATTATCGGTATTTCTTCCGGGTGAACTTCACTGGTAAACAGTCACATTTTTCAGCATTAACCCCTTTTGTAACGAGCTCGTGATCAAAGTTGTCTCGGTCGAAAAGCTGCAAAGCAAACGGACCAGTGTACATTGTTCGACGAGTAGAATAGTTTTCCGTTAAACACGTTTCGCGCTATGTCGAAGGATAAACGACAGTCTTGTTATCGATCTTACGTCGCGTTTCAAACTTTTCGAACGTTCGATTTTCTCATTGTCTTCGTTACAAAGGGGCTTCGGTTTTCACTGGGGGATGCTGTTTCAACGAGAAGCGACGATCACGCGAGAAGAATCGACCGAGAGGCAAGAGGGGCGAAAATTAATGCGGTGTCAATTGATAAAGTGGAACAACTTCAAGTACGCGTTGAAAACGGTTTTCTTTATTTTTGGCAAGGACTCAAGGCTCTCGACTCCGACTCGGTTACACGCGTCGGTGCTCGGGAGCCCTTCAGATCGTATTTTCAGACTTTATGACAAAAATAATCGAGCATTGAGTCATTCCAGAGAACTGCGATTTCGTCGATGTTACTCGAGCCTCGAACAATCGCTAATAATTATCTCAAAGTTCGTGTTAAATCTTAAAGACGTATTTTCGACAAACGATTATCGTAACGGTATTTAGATATCATAACTTTCCATCGACGGTCGTCGCTTCTCTTTATCGTGTCCGTGGATTTATCGGCACGTATCCCAACGTAAAAAGCGATACATTACGAGTACACCCGATAACGCCTACCTCGCGTTCTAACAACCGTACATACCAAGTAACAACGCGACGGAACTTGTTCCGCCTCTCCGAATACATATTTCGTTTCTCGTTGCTTCTGATCACGGTATTAGTCACGACTAACAGAAACCGAGAAAGTCTGTTACGGAGGAATTTGCGCGGTCTCTTCGCACATCCTTCCGTTTCCCGTATTTCCATGATTCACTCGGAAGATGATCAGGTTGAACGGATGATAGCTATACGGAAAACGAAGCTGGCCAGTTAGTTCGTACGGGACAGTTAACTGTACAGTTTCTCGTAAAATCTCGGTCGCTTGGTCGGCCTTCGAACCGTGTACGAAACATTCTGCGAACGGCGATAGATATTTTTTCCGTCTACTAAAGGGGTCGCGATTGTTGGACGTTCGCGCGAAAACGCGCCGGAGGCTGAACATCTTCGTTCCTCGATCCTCTGTGATCGATGTCGTTGCTGTAACAGCGACGAGTCGCAGACATAAAAAAAATGACGCGAAAGAGTTTGTACAGTCGCTGTCCTGTAAACCTGCTATAAGCTTTTTGCACGTCGTTCGTATTAGGTATCGATTTCTAGAAGAAACGAGCATCGATCGCTTACGTTCGATCGGACAGTCGTGAACAAATTTGGATTCTCTAGGAAAAAAGAAAATTCCCCACTTTCATTTCTAGGAATTTTTAAAATTTCAAAATTTTTCTATGGATTCAGAATTTGAGGATTCGGAAATTTGAGATCTAGGGAATTTCAAGTCTAGGAAATTTAAGATTTAGGGAATTTTATATCTAGGGAATTTTTAGGTCGAAGGAATTTGAGATGTAGGGAATTTTAGATCTAGGGAATTCGAAAGCTAGGAAATTTCGAGGTCTAAGGAATTTGAGATTTAGGGAATTCGAGAGCTAGGGAATTTTGAGATCTAAGGAATTTGAGATTTAGGGAATTTAAAGTCTAGGGAATTTTGAGGTATGGGGAATTCGAAATTTAGGGAATTTTGAAGCCTAGTGAATTTTGGGTTCTAGGGAATTTTAGATCTAGGGAATTCGAGAGCTAGGGAATTTTGAGATCTAAGGAATTTGAGATTTAGGGAATTTAAAGTCTAGGGAATTTTGAGGTATGGGGAATTCGAAATATAGGGAATTTTGGAGTATAGGGAATTTTGAAGCCTAGTGAATTTTGGGGTCTAGGGAGTTTTAGATCTCGGGGATTTGAGGTCAAGGGAAATCGTGATCTAGGGAATTTTTGGTTCATAGTATTAAAACCCTAAAGAATTCAGGATCGGATTTGGGGATCTAGGGAATTCCATACCTAGTGTATTCACATATGATATATATACCCTATGTTTTAATACCCTAGTCCCGGAATTCTCCAGGTCCAAATGTCTCTAGATCCGGAAATCCGTGTGTTTATACCCTAGATCCAGAAATTTAGTAATTTAGAAATTTGTGAATTATAGAATTCGAAAATTCGAGCAGGAAATTTTTGAGCGTTCACATATGTCGCAATTGAACAACGTCGCACCCGTGAGCGCGGTAGGAGCGGGGCCGCGAAAGGTTAGGCGTGTTTAGCCACGATATTCGAGCGGTTTTCCACGATGTTCCAGAAGGAGAACGTGGCAAGATACGGCACAATGTGCGTCGTGAAGAATTTGTCGAAGGCTATAGTTAACCGCTTATCTAACGTTATCGATAGTCGTTGGTCAGTCTAGGTGCGGTGACGTTGGGTGCCCGATTCTAGTTACGGCTCGTCGCCCGGCGCAAGATTCACAGACGTCGATGCACGTACATACTCGTTACTCACGCTTTCCTCGTCGGTTTCGTACGCATCTCGCGCCCGACGTTATCGTATAAATAGACGATATATATAGATAACGCACGCGGTCGAAAGTCGCGTCGATCATAGGGAGTTGGGGTGGTCTCGCATCCTCCTCTGATCGACTACGCTTCCACGAACCTTAACCGGCCGCTTAACCTTTCACGATATCACCTTACTCTCGCCCTATTGTGCACACGATTTTTCGCCGACTCACAAGCCGCGGAGACCTTATAGCGTTACACGATCGCGACGGTGATCTGCCGAAAAAATTTCATGCTAATCGCTTAACATTGTGAGCTAATTTCGCGTTGGAACGATGATTTAGAATGCAACATAGTTGTGCGTGCTCGGCGATCCAAAAAACCTATAAATACCAACCTTGATAGAGATCTAACAAAAATTTGAAATTTCGCCAACTCAAAATTGATCACCGCGACGCGACTTTGACGGTCCCGTTCGTCTTTCTTGGTTTCGAGCGGTTCGTTGGCCAGAGCGAAAAACTCGCTGATAGGAAACGATTTGACTAATTTAGAAAATTGATATCGATCACTCTGGTGGCGGGTAAAGTCGGTTAACGGGTTCAAGTTCGATCGATTCGCATAACCGCGAGTCGAGGAAAGGAATCGATCGTACGACTTCGATTTCTTGGTCGATCCGCGAGGAGAGAAGATCGTTAACCTTTGAGGAGTTTAGGCTGTGCGCCAGATCTTAGATTGGAATCGGGTGACCCACGCGCGCTATGCCCGTATCCACTAAGCCGATTGTTATGCGATGATAAGTTCACGGTACGCGCGAACGCGTCCGCACCGTCTGTTTATTGCGATTACGCCTCGTTAAAATGCAACCGACACCCACGCGATTCACTATTTTCAGCCGGCTATTATATTCGGTTTTAAAGGCCGCTCGCTCGCGCGCGATAATTACCCGCGAATATCCGCGTAACCGTTCGGGTTTCTTGAATGAATTTTCAGCATTTCCGTCTGCTTCGTTGATACTACTGGCCGCAAATAGCCCGCCGACGTTTTCCGTTACGTGCGGTCTACACATTTATTTTCGGCCGTTACTCTTGAACGACGTAATGAAAACGATGCTAGAATAACAACTTTTCCTATCGTTCTTTCTATCGTGGAATTAAAAGAACGCAGCAAGAAATATTAGGCGAGTGGTTTAAGATAGACTGAGATTGGAGAGTTTTGATTGGTAGACTCGTGCGCATGCGCAGTGGTTTGAATGGGGTACAGAATATTTTATACGATAAAACATTTTTTGAATTCTCAAAATATAGTAATTCTCATGATACGATAATTAGATATATAATTACTGATAGTTGGAACAATATTTTGTTGAATGAGTAAAAATTAAAACAGTCTGGAAAAGTTTTGTGAAAGATATGTTGAATGTGGAACGAAACCGCAACGAGTAGATTAGCCTTTAAGAAAGGTGTACACGCGTCGTTTTATTAGACACAACCGGTACTGTTCGATCAACCATCCGTGATATCGTCACCTGCCTGAGGTGTCCGAAACACCTGCCCCTTCACCCTTCATTTTGTTGCAAATGCAGTGCAGTATGCGATTCTCTAATTGCTGAAATATCGAAGAAAAAATTACATTTCGTACAAGACAACAAAGTTTTAACATTGAATTGGAAAATGTAGAAATTTGAAACTTGTGAATCTGAAAATTTGTAGCTGCCTGTCTTTGCCAAAGGAAGAGTTGCATTTGTGTACAACGGCTTCTCTGTCCGGTGACTGTCACGTGTTCGAGCAGACTGTGCCAATTTCTTTGGGTCCTCGTCACCGTGGCTCGTATTTTATTCTGCATTTTGACCTTAAGCCGAGTAACATTTCTTAAAAGAGCAAAGGTAGTTGGAAAAGATGGAAGGACACATAATTAGGTCTGTACCGCTACCACTCTTTGACGTAAATAAGGAAGCCATGACAGGATCGAATCGACTACCGGTATCGAGGTATCGAACGTCGAACCTTTCGTCATCCACTTGATCGATTCACGAACGTACAAGAGAAAGAAAACTAGTGAAGAAAATTCAATGCCAGACTTTAAGAATAGATATAATTTGCAAACTGGTTCGGGCGTGTACGCGAGATATTTAGAATTTGGGTTACGTGAATTATGTGCATCGTATTTAGGCCGTTTCGTTGCACGTTTAACTGTATTTATTTTTAGCAGTGCCGCGCTAAGGTGACAGTAAAAAAATGTCACATTCGGACAAGTGTACTTTCCAATGGTTCGCGGAAGCGCGGTAATCGATCCATCGAGATTGCAAATCTCGTTTGTTTATATCGTGCCGTTAAGTCATCGCCGCGTGTTCGCTTTATAAAAAGATGCTAATGAGTCACGAATGTAAGTAAAGAGGAGCCCGCGACTCGTAACACGGTTCTTATTCTATGCAACTAAACCGTTTGTTTACATAACACGATTTCTTTTTTTTTCAGTTACAAGCTTTACGTAACGCAGCTTTGTCGTTTCGCGAAATGGAGGGAAAGGAGAAAGGGGGTACAACGGAAAAAAAATAATCGCTTCTTCGAACGTTACGACGCTATAAAAAGTCTATGCCTTCGAAATAGAATTCGGATGAAACGCGATCGCGGTTCGTTTTATCAGCAAATTAATCCGAGCTCGTTTTGTGCCGTTCGACGATTTTTTCTAATATGACGCGTGTTCTACAATAATTCCTCGGCGTTCGGTGAACACAGTCGAATTACGAGCAGGATTAATCGTTCGTGGAAGGCGTTAAATATAGTTCGCGACGAAATGGAATTCGACGATGGCGGAGGATGTTTCAGGATACAACTGATTTAATGTCCTGGTCGAAAGTGAAATGGATCAGAATGTTTTCGAAATGCTTAGCCGCTCAGCGCGGGAGGAGTCAATGTTTTACAAATAGATCTTAGGAGCGCTCGTAGAAGTTTAGGTGGCTCATGTCCAATTTTGGCCGGTCGCGCTTCACGCTACCCGTATTAAATTTCAGACAATATTTTTCTCTCATTCCCTCTCCGAGTTTTCCTTTTCAACCAAAAATTCCTGTTCTCCCATTTTTTTCCTACACGTTTCTCACAATTTTGTGCTGATTTTCCCTCTCAAAAATTCTGTAAATTGCTATTTATTAGGGGGGAAATCACAATGTTTTTTTTTAAAGGATAAAAACAAAATTTGTTAGCTATTATTTTTTTAAAAAGGAACTGTATTCTTATGTACAAAGCTACATATTTTTAGAAACATTCCATGGTATATTCTATGTAAAAAAGTATAGGTTATATTATAAAAAAAATATTTTATAAAAAATAAAGAATTCAAGGTTGATTTTAAAACATCTTACTAGTATTTTTTTACGTAGAATGTTTTGCAGAGTTGATTTGTGTAAAACAATGTACAGTTTCATTCAGAAAAAATTCATATGAAGAAATAACAATACTCCAATCAAAATGGCGGGAATTTTTTATTCCAAATTTTTTTAGATGACTACTTTGAAAGATAATCTGTATATATTTTAGGTATTGAATAAATCAATTTAATCTCTTCAATAATTTATAAATTCAATACATGTTTATTAAATTATTAACAACCATGAACTCTGCGCATGCGCGGTCACGTGTCTGGTCACATGACTTATTGCTAATAGATTTTTCGATCGAATTTTGAGATTCGCCCAAAGTGATAGATGACTGAAAGATCATAATTTTATGCATATTGGAGATATCGAAGGTTTGAAAACGTTCGGTCTGGGCAATAGGAAACACGATTTAAGAACCAGGACAGAAGATATATATAGCAGGAGGGATTGGGGTCGCTACTAAAATATACGCTAAGCAGCAGTCAAGCTCAATTCTCCGTTTTAAATTCTTCTTAACATTCTTCTGTTATTTAATCGACGATCGATCGCGCGAGATGCCGCGGAGGACGTCCGGCGTTGGCCAAAAACGGAATAACGAGTAAATGTTATCTTTAAGCAACGAACCGATCTTCAATTCTCGTTAAATCCGATATATTTTCAGACATTCACAGCATGGTGTAATTCGCATCTTCGTAAAGCAGGGACCGCCATCGAATCGATCGAGGAAGACTTTAGAAACGGGCTGAAGCTGATGCTGCTGCTCGAGGTGATTTCAGGAGAGACGCTTCCAAAACCGGACAGAGGCAAAATGAGATTCCACAAGATCGCGAACGTGAACAAAGCCCTCGATTACATCGCCAGCAAAGGCGTGAAGCTGGTGTCCATAGGAGCAGAGGGTAAACATAACCTAAACAATTTTTTACGAAAAATTTTTTAAAAATCCGTAAACTAATATATTTTAATTTTTGACAGAAATCGTGGATGGAAATCTGAAGATGACACTGGGTATGATCTGGACCATCATTCTGAGATTCGCCATTCAGGACATCTCCGTGGAGGAGATGACAGCGAAGGAAGGTCTCCTGCTGTGGTGTCAACGTAAAACAGCACCGTACAAGAACGTGAACGTTCAGAACTTCCACCTGTCGTTCAAGGATGGCTTGGCGTTTTGCGCTCTCATTCATCGTCATCGTCCCGACCTCATCGATTACAATAAACTTAGCAAGGATAATCCTCTAGAGAATTTGAACACTGCCTTTGACGTTGCTGAGAAATATCTCGACATTCCTCGTATGTTAGATCCCGACGGTAAGCATCGTGGTCAACCCCGAAGTTAACGTGTCGCGGTCGAACGGATAGGCTTTCTAACTCGATAGTACAAAGAGAAGAGCTTTTAGGAATTAAGACGGATACGTTGTTTAAAAGTGCGACAAATGCTTAATATAATGTTCCCTTGATATCATATAGATTTGATCAACACACCCAAGCCAGACGAGCGTGCAATCATGACGTACGTGTCCTGCTACTACCACGCGTTCCAAGGTGCTCAGCAGGTCAGCGTAAAGAAATGCGTGTTCCCTTACTTTGATGACCAAGACCTGTTTTATGTTCCACTAATATCGAGTCAATTTGCTTACCACTTAACAGCGTTTGATAGTCGCGCAATTATCGGGCGTCGTTTTCTTCATGTGTGTATCGCTAGATTAACTGCGCTCAATTTCGATGGAAATCGAGAATACAGTGAACACAATTCTAACACTGCATGGTTTGAGTTTCTTCGAACGTGTTTTTCTAGATATGCGAACCACAGCAAAGCCTGACGAGAGGGCTGTGATGACCTACGTTTCTTCCTACTACCACTGCTTTAGCGGTGCGCAGAAGGTGTGTGTTTTGCTTTTTGATTAACCGGACCAACAGTCCAAATGCTGTAACAATCATGAATGTGCATCTAAACCGACTATTTTTTATGGAAGAATAACCGTACTTCTTTTCCATTGTAGGCAGAAACAGCCGCGAATAGAATTTGCAAGGTTCTGAAGGTGAACCAGGAGAATGAGAGGCTCATGGAAGAGTACGAGCGCTTGGCTTCCGATTTGCTGGAGTGGATACGGAGAACTATGCCCTGGCTGGCTAGTCGTCAGACCGATAACTCCCTAGCCGGGTGTCAAAAGAAGCTGGAGGAGTATCGAACGTATCGCCGTAAGCACAAGCCTCCACGAGTGGAGCAGAAGGCCAAACTCGAAACGAACTTCAACACTCTACAAACGAAGTTAAGACTGAGCAATCGACCTGCCTACATGCCAACGGAGGGCAAAATGGTCTCCGACATTAACAAAGCGTGGAAAGGTAAAGCTAAAGACTTAACGATGTTAGCTAAGTATCGTCACGGTCGTTTGAACTGATTGCAGGTCTGGAGCTGGCTGAGAAATCGTTCGAAGAATGGCTGTTGTCGGAAATGATGCGTCTCGAACGTCTGGAGCATCTGGCTCAGAAGTTCAAGCACAAAGCCGACGCTCACGAGGAGTGGACCGCAGGAAAGGAAGAGATGCTTACGTCGCAGCACTTCCGACAGTGTAAACTGAACGAGCTGAAGGCCTTGAAGAAGAAACACGAGGCCTTCGAATCCGATCTTGCGGCTCATCAAGATCGCGTGGAACAGATAGCTGCTATCGCTCAGGAACTCAAGTAATATCCTCGTCGAAAAACTCGATATAACATCGATAAACATTCGCGGTCTTTACTAGATGTTAACGGGAGTCCGTTTTCAGCACCTTGGAGTATCACGATAGCGCGTCCGTTAACGCCAGATGCCAACGAATCTGCGATCAGTGGGATCGTCTGGGTACCTTAACTCAACGCAGACGTCAAGCGTTGGATGAAGCGGAGCGCATCCTCGAGAAGATCGATGTCTTACATCTGGAATTCGCCAAACGAGCTGCTGTGAGTTTCATTTCTAGTCTACTGTTATCAACGCCTTCGATGTTTAATTTATCATCTTTTAGCCATTCAACAATTGGTTGGACGGAACCCGGGAGGATCTGGTCGACATGTTTATCGTGCATACGATGGAGGAGATTCAGGGATTGATGGATGCTCATGCCGCGTTCAAGGCTACTCTCGGAGAAGCCGATAAAGAGTACAACGCGATCGTAGGATTAGTGCGCGAAGTAGAATCCATTGTTAAACAGTTCCAGATTCCTGGTGGTCTTGAGAATCCGTATACCACCCTCACCGCATTGGTAAACGCATAAAGACAATTCAGACTGCGTATAGTTTCAGCTTATTATACATTTTAATGTTTGTTAATAGGACCTCACAAAGAAGTGGAGCGACGTCAGGCAACTCGTGCCACAACGTGACGGTACATTGCAAGCGGAACTTCGCAAACAGCAGAGTATCCTTTTTTTAATAGACGAATTTAAATAAAATGTGAACTATGAAATTTCTTAACCGAGTGAATAGACAACGAACTACTTCGCCGACAATTCGCTGAGAAGGCTAACGCTGTTGGGCCATGGATAGAGCGTCAGTTAGACGCGGTTACAGCCATTGGTCTTGGTCTTCAGGTGAATAAACCAATGAAATATTCTTGATAAACTAGAACTCGTACTGTAACGTATTTTTTTTCTTCAGGGTACACTGGAAGATCAGTTGCACCGTCTGAAGGAGTACGAGCAGGCGGTCTACCAATACAAAGCTCACCTTGAAGAACTGGAGAAGATTCACCAAGCTGTCCAGGAAGGCATGATATTCGAGAACCGATACACTCAGTACACGATGGAGACGTTACGAGTCGGCTGGGAACAGCTTCTGACTTCGATAAACCGTAACATTAACGAAGTTGAAAATCAAATTCTTACCAGAGACTCCAAGGTACATTTGATCACGCGTTAACACGCAACACGATTCGAATCGAGTGTTTATATTTGGTACGTCTTACGTAGGGTATTACGCAAGAGCAACTGAACGAATTCCGTAGCAGCTTCAACCACTTCGACAAGAATCGTACGGGCAGATTAGCTCCCGACGAATTCAAATCCTGCCTTGTTTCTCTGGGTTACTCGATTGGAAAGGACAGGCAAGGTGACATCGACTTCCAACGCATTTTGGCTATCGTTGATCCAAATAACTCTGGTTACGTACACTTTGACGCGTTCTTGGACTTTATGACGCGCGAGTCGACGGACACCGACACGGCAGAACAAGTCATCGACAGCTTCCGTATTTTGGCCGGAGACAAGGTTTGGATGAATGGATGATAATTAAAATAATTAAGTTTCGTGAATTTAATTTCTAATTAATTTTACAGCCGTACATATTGCCAGACGAGTTGAGGAGAGAATTGCCACCCGACCAAGCCGAATACTGCATTCAACGAATGCCTCCTTACAAAGGACCGAACGGAATACCCGGGGCATTAGATTATCGTTCTTTCTCTACCGCCCTGTACGGTGAATCGGATCTGTAAAGTTACATATCAAAAATTCAGAAAATTTGTGGACGAATTTCAATGAAACAGATCTGGTGACATCTGAAATGTTTGCTCTACATTTTTGGTACTCTAACGCATCTAAAGAATATCAAACACGACGTTGCTTAGTATGAAGACAGTACAATATTCGAAGCGTTTGAAAGCAACAGTAAGCTCTTTATACGTGTCACGAGCGTTAGCAATTTTTTATTCGTGATATTGTTTTAACGTGAAGGAACCTGAGAGCCACATCGATCAACTTTGATATGCCGATATTTCCTAGAACGAACTTTTAGAGTTCGAGAACGGTGATCCGTACTTAAATAAGTCTGTACAGTGACAATAAATATCTAATTTAGATACCTTAACGTTAAAAGAATAGCACAAATCCGACTAGTTCTTCTAGAACGTTTGCTTCTTGCCTATGTCTACGATGAATCCTATATAATTAGTAAGTTAACGTTTTAATTGTATATAAACATTTTCGAGAAGTCACACGAGTACCAATAAGAAAGAAAAACATTTCCTTTTCGCGAGCGTTTCAGAAAAGGAAAGAACGAAACTGTGCCGAAAACGAATATTACAATTGAAATGCGATCGAACAATTTATTGCGTATGAAACTGTCGCTTACATCGATGTCGTAGCCTTACGTGTCTAGAAAAAAGGTTTCCTTTTTTAACATTCAGTTTCTTTTTGAAGAACTTTTCGAACAAAGTCATCGAACCACTCGATTGTTGCTAAATATTTTCCTGCTGGTCAGCGGTTTTTTCTTTTGTCCAATTCGATTGAAACGTAAGGTACGAGTCGATGTCTGCGACGCGCGAAAATTCATGATATATAAATTAAGATTATTAACGATACTAAACGAATTTTTGGACATCCTTATACACGTACGAATCGACTTTCTCGCTAAGGATCCAGAAAATATTACGCTCGAAATCGAACGCAACGTTCATATTTTTTATAAAAAAGCGGCGCAACGAATTTTTAAACGAGAAGCCCGCCTTTATACTTCGCCAATCGTATATAACGCGAAAACGATGCTAAAGAAAGCAAATTTATTTATTTATTTGAATTAAATGATTATTTATTATTGTTCCGATAATTAATTATGGTTAGTGAACGAAACCACTTTTTCAAAGTATTTATTTTTATAAATATTTGAGAGAAGTGATATATAAACGAAAGGCCAACTGTAATATAAGATCTGTCATGTAAAATTGTTCCAAATAGCGGCTGCCATTCTCTGTGTCATGTGTAAGCAGCCTAAAAACCATTTAGTCGAATCATTGTCGTCCAATTCATTATTCTAAGGTCATAAAAAGCTCGTGTGTGAAATGTAATAATCGGAGGAAGAGAAAATACTGAACCTTTTTTTTTGGTTTCGCTTGGAACTTAATGCTTTTTCAATATCCATCTTAACGCGTTTGCGAGTTTACTTTTCTCGTATCTTTAACCAAAACGAGCAAAAAAAATTGGGCTTTTTACAGAAACAAAATAACGTAAAAAAAAAACACGCACACAAACATCAAGCACACACACACGTACACATATCAGAAATGTAATAAATTGAAACGAGTACGCGTATGATGAAATTTGTACAAGGTTTTTCTCATACTATACTCGTATTACATTCTCATCGTATATACATGTAATTATCATTTTATTCTATTCAATGTAACGCCCTATCATTTCGCATCGCACTATACAGCTCTACCCGTTCATCTTCCTCGATCGGTTTAATAAAAAAAAAAGCGAAAAACACTGTAAAATTAAGTTACGAGGAAAAATAAATAACTCGAAAAAAAGATGAGAGAAAAATTTTAGTACCGAGCGACTTATATGCGTCGAATGGGCGATATAAAAGGATATTTAAATAAAAATTTCTAACAGTGTGGTTAAAAGTTGATGCTTTTATTCCAGATACAATGGTCGATCGAATTTCAGAGACTCGTCAAAAAGTACACCTTACTCGCGTTCCTCGACATTACATTAACGTATAAATTATCTCGTAGGCATGCGACGTATACTAAGACCTATTTATATACAATAACTATCATATTTACACGAACAACTTTTAACGATAATATCACCGTTTCCGTCGATTATGGCTAAAATTTCCCAGACACTGATTTAATCCTTGCAGCCGAGTCCGGCGGACCAGTTGCAAATACCACCGACAGGATCGAAGGATAATTTGTCAGGGCAGGTGTACTCGGCTCCAACCACCAAGCCGTTCACCATTCTAGCGCAGGTGATGAACTTCCGGCAGGAGTACGGGTGCGGGAAGTTGCCTTGGTCCAAGCATCGAATGCTGCCTTTGCTCGTGAGGAACAGCTTTCCGTTCAACGTGGACTTTCCGATCACGGATTCCTCCTCGTCCTCGTAATAATCGTAATCGATAACCTGGGGTCGTCTAGGTCTCGTAGTCGCGTTCTGTACGGGTTTATCCTTCGACCTTGGCCGACCTCTGAGAGCCGGGGTAAAACTCTTCGTCGTCGTCGTTGCGTCTGATCTAGGGGCTATCGTAGTGCTTATCTTCCGCCTGAAGGCGTTCCTTAATGCTGGTCGACCTGATCGTGTAACCGGATTATTTAAATAGATATCCAGAAAAAGAGGAGACCGTTAACACACCCATCGGAAGAATGTAGACCACCACGCGTGAATATCCAGCGTGAAGAACAAAATCATCCAGAAAGATGCAGGAGAAAAGTCGGTATGCTTAGAAGTTATAGCTGCATTAGTAGACACACGGTTGAAAAGAAGAGTGATGGAATTATTGAGCACAGATGCATGAGAAAGATCGTGAAGTCGAAGTAGAATCGTCGAAAGATAGGTTAGCCTTCATGTGATTAGTTTGTTGATGGTAATCGCAGTTCTCATTTTGCGAACGCACGAATTAGGGGTCAGTTAAAGAACGCAGCCATTGGCTGGTGCGAAAGGACGAAAGAAAGTATAAGTCGGTAATTGCAATGAAATTATATCCCAGATGATTGGTGAACAAACGTGAGATTCGTGACGTGATTTTTAGATTAAGTAGATTAAGAAGTTTGATGGTGAAGTAGTTAACAGGTTCAGTGTACCGGTGGTCGATGATTGCGGTGGTGGATCCGCCAATGTCACGGCGATTTCTTGCGCTCGACTACTTTGATCGATTTCTTTTTCTACTTTCGCCGTCTCTGTCGTTTTATCCACAGCATCTGAAACAATAACGTATTTATTACTTTCTAACTCACGTATTTAATTCTATAATTACTTTCATTTTCACGATTCTATAATTCTTTTTACATGTACACATATTGCCGATTCAACTTTGAATTTCTGCGCAGGCGTTCTGCGCATGTCACAAGTCGCGAAAGAATCCACTCGCGTATTTAATTCTACAATTACTTTTACTTCACGATTCCACAATTATTTTTACTTTAACGATTCTACAATTATTTCTACTTTCATAATTCTACAATTACTTTTATTTTCACGATTCTACAATGATTTTTACATGTACACATATTCACGATTAAATTTTGAATTTCTGCGCAGACGTTCTGCGCATGTCACAAGTCGCGAAAGAACCCGCTCACGTATTTAATTCTACAATTATTTTTACTTCACGATTCCACAATTATTTTTACTTTAACGATTCTACAATTATTCCTACTTTCACGATTCTACAATTATTCCTACTTTCACGATTCTACAATTACTTTTATTTTCACGATTCTACAATAATTTTTACATGTACACATATCCACGATTAAACTTTGAATTTCTGCGCAGGCGTTCTGCGCATGCCGCAGTTGTGACGTAATGCGTGGTCCGCGTCGCAGTCTGTTTTTGGCGGGACGCGGTGAAGTACTAACTCGCGAATCGTGCAATTATGTGTTCGTTCTGTGCGCGTTATGTGCTTTTTATGAACTCTTTATATATTCTTTACGTTATCGTGTGTTCGCTTACCGTGTTTTTCGCTTTCGGAAGAATGTTCTCCACCGGTTGGACGATTTTTTCGGTGATTAGTGAAAGTGTTCGAGGACTTGCTCTGCTGCGTCGAAACTGGTTTTCTCAACCTGGTTGATAACAAACTTCCTGGTGATTGAGCAGACGTATTCTTCGTGGAGTTCACCTGTTCGTGGATTACACGCTGATTATACTGACAGTACGGTGGCAATTCGGCGGAACGGTAAGTACAATTTGTGATTTGACAATGAAGGCGTCTGTTGACAGCTAATTGGTATAAATGAGTGATAAGAGCCAAGATTTTGAGATATAGCATATTACAAAGTTATAAGACATGCTTTTTTATTCGTTAGAATGATAATTTAGTATTTTGATGACAATTTATTACTTTGATGACAATGTATGGAAGTTTCTAGAAAGAAATTGCGTTTCTTAAGATTGCGCGTCTGGCGCGAAAATCAGTCAAATTCAAATCGCCATTTTGGTGCGCCGTAGGTGGCGTCTTGTTCTCCATGTCAGTAACGTAATATCGCCTTTCAATAACAGGCGATAAAAGGGTCCTTAATTAAAATTTAATCTTGTCTCTCCAATCTCTTGCATTTATACCAATTAAATCGTTTCATTTTTGACAATCATTTCTGTAAAGAAGCGCAGATATGATTTACACAGAAAAGAGGAGAAAATTAGAGAATAAGCTCGCGATACAATGACAGTCTATTTTAGCGTTAAATTACTGAATTATATAGTAAAGCATTAACCCTTTGCACTCCGAGTGACATTCGAGGCAGAGAACATTCTCAAGCTTAATATTATAGTACAGAAAGTTAGGCATTTATTCGTATGGACTGCGTACGCAAGCGTCGGTAACCCTTGAAATGCCACTGACTTGTTTACCCGCCAAAAGATGGCGTCACGTACATTTTACTTTGCATAACAATAAGAAAAATTTTGATTTTACCAGTAGAGCATAGTTTAATATAAAGAGATAGTTTCTTAAAGAAGAGATAGATTTCTATTAACCGTATTTAATCGAGAAACGAGTCGAGTACAAAGGGTTAACCTTTTGCAGTCCAGATTATTTCATTTCGTTTAATCCGGCCCGCGTTCGCACAATTCTTAATATCGCAATGTACATAGAATGCGTTTACTTTGGCGCTTTTTTCTTAGATATAAGATCACGATATTACAAAAAATCGAAACGAAATGCAATGTCGAGTTCTACTCGATATAGGACCACAAATGGTTGACGCATCGTAAGATGAAACGGTAAGCGTAGGCGTTGTCACGTTTAACCCTTTAATTATTTTTCAAATATTGTCGCAATCATTTATATTCGCATTAAATATAAATGTGCAATTAGAGTGCGGTATTGTGTTAAGTGACAGTTGAGTTATCGGTAGAGTGTAGATACGGTAGGCTCGTGTCACGTGACCGCTGTGTCCATTCAGCGTAGTAGCTTGCGTCACGTGACTTGCCGCGTCCAATCAGCGTACTAACCCATATCACGTGACTCGCAAAGTGTCAAATTATAACATCGCGCGATTATAACATTCATTTTCGAATTTAATAGACAAAATTTCGGAAATGTAAATAAGTATTTAGTGGATAGCAACTGAATGACAATATTTAATACGATATTTGAGACTAAAAGGGTTAAACGTGCGGTACAACGCCTCTTAAAAGAAGCCGTGTTAATCGATTTGAAAGTGGATACATCAGATGAAGATAACGCATGACGATAGAAGAAGTTCCCGATGAATCCTCCGATCCTCTCTTCTCGTTGTTACATTATGTCGAGTCAGCTCCTTTTTCTTATTGTTAGATGCGAAAAGAAATGCCGGTTAAGAAAATCGTCGACTGGTAATTTCTCGATCTGTTTTTTCCGTGTTCCGTTTTAGTAGTAAAGAAAGAGCTAGCGATAGCGGTCTCGATTGTTATGCTTCTCTCTACAGCAAGTTTAAGTCTAAACTGACCTCGGCTTCGATTCGATCGGTACCGTCCTCGTTCAAGCTTTCCCGATCGTTCCCCGTTGACTTATTCTTTACAGTAACTTCTTCGATCGGTTTTGACGTAGTAGTGGAAATTCTGCGTCGTCCTACGAACACGCGACGTCGACCCTCCGTTACCGATTCGCCGCCACGTTGTCGTTTGCGTTGCGATCTCTCACCAAAACCAAATTTTTGTTGACGAATATTGTCCTTGACGGTGGTGGGTACTGTAGAAGGTTCATCGGTTTCTGTATTTAATTTTAGCACCGTGGTGCTCTCGGTAGTCAACTCTTCCGTGGTCAGACGCTCGGGTGGACTCGTCTCGGTCCGTCTCGACTCGGTCGGACGCTCGGTCGGACTCGTCTCGGTCAGACGCTCGGTCGGACTCGTCTCGGTCCGTCTCGACTCGGTC